GGTATAAAAATTTTAAATAAGCTCAACAATCTAATCCTGCCTTGAAGTCTATTATAAAAGATGTTAGGTAAAGACTTATGCCAAATTTAGACTATCAGAAGATGATGCACCAAGGTTTGGAATTAGGGTATGTGTGCCAAATAATAATAACATGAAGAATGAGATATTAGGAGAAACACACTTATCTAGATTTGCAGTGCACCCTAGTAACACTAAAATATACCAAAACTTGAAGACCAGATATTGGTGGAGTAGGATAAAGAAGGATATAGTAGAGTTCGTTTCCAAATATCTCACATGCTAAGAAGTAAAGGTTGAATATCATAAGCGAGTAGGACTACTTCAGCCCTTGCTAGTATCAGAGTAAAATAGAAACACATTACCATGGATTTCGTGGTGGGCCTACCCAAATAAGATCCCACCATGGTGCTATTTGGGTTATTTTTTATAAATTAACCAAGTCTTTCAATTGTTTTGACTATCAAAGTAAATAACCCATTGGACAACTTGGCAAGACTCTATATTAAGGAGATCGTGAGATACATGGTATTTTAGTGATAGTCATCTTAAATCGAGATCCTTGTTTTACCTCAAGATTTTGGATAAGTTTGCAGAATATTGTGGGAACCAAACTATTCTTCAAAACAGATTTTCATCCTCAAATGGATGACTAATTAGAATGAACAATCCAAAATTTGAAGGATATGTTATAATCTTGTGATATTGAGCCAAAAGGTAATTAGGATGATCATTTATCTCTGATCGAGTTTTCATATAATAATAGTTATTGGTCCAACATTCAAATGGATGCTATGAGTCCTTGTGTGGAAGACTTTGCAGATCACCTATCTGTTGAGAAGAAGTTTGAGAGTGTAAATTGTTTGGACCTGAGTTAGTGGAAGAGACTATAGAGAAAGTGAGATTGATCAAGAAGCATCTTTGGACCACTTAAAGTTAACAGAAAAGTTATGTTGACAACTGGAGATTAAATTTTGAAGTAAGCAACCATATATTATTGAAGATTTCAATAATCAAATAGATCATGAGATTTAAGATGAATGAAAAGTTAAGTCCTAGATCCGTCAGACCTTTTAAGATATTAGAAAGAGTGGGAATAGTCGCGTACCGTTTAGTATGTCATTTGAATTAGGAAACATTCACAATGTCAGACGCAATCAATGTCGAGGAAATATCAGTCAAATCCATCATATGTAGTATGAACCTGTTCCTGGGTGGCAGAATTCATGATATAATGAGATCATTGTGT